ATATTGAATGGTATTCATATATGTTATAAGTTAAGGTTTTAAAGATATACATTTGATGCACTTATGGTATATATACGACCGAGTGAGATCAAGATGGTACATTATATTATGTATTGTTGGTTGTTGAGCGATATTGTTATTGGTGCCCGTGTGGAGGTTTGTTCTGGACAGGTTAAAGTTTTTGGATAGTCCTAGTTATAGGAGAAGCTCTGCCGAAATTTTTAACAATTTGTAAAGATAGCCAAATTTTGAGGGCCATAAGTAAGTTGAGATTTTCCAAAGGAAATATAAGACCCATGTAGTCATAAGTGCCTATGCATAATGGTTAAAGGTAAAATAATGGTAACTCTATTCTTAGAAGTGACTTGTAAAACATTCGAGGACGAATGTCCTTAAGTGGGGGAGAATGTAGCACCCCGAAAAATTTTGAAGGACTTAAACGCTATTAAGAAAGTTGATATGTGCTAATTATATTATTTTGTGTGCAGACGAGGACTATTAATTTGATGGATATCAATTGGATATGATAATAAGTGTACGAGGCATATTATAAGTGATGTGGGGTCTAATGAGAGCCCTAAGTCTAAGTCAGGTTAGAAATTACATGATGGACTAAAGTTCCAAACGAGTACACACAAGAACTAACTTTGGACGAGTAAATCTACATATATATAAGAATTTATGTGATGTAAAACTTATCAAATAAAAGATCATCGAGTCTAGTTTCTAATGCTTCAAATCGTTTGTCATTTGGACATTCCTACAAGAAATTATTATCAAATCACCAAAGGCTGGGGGGGGNCAGGTCCGCATCCGAACTTCAAAGAGGAGTAAAGTGGGGATGCGAAGCATCGAGGTCCGCATCCGAAACCCAAAAATCGGGGCCTATAAATACAAGGTAGGGGGAGGAGAGTATTTTGAGTATTTGGGGGTTAGGGTTCTTGAGGTGAAGGGGCGATTTTGAGCTCAAATCAAGTCCAATCAACCACGGTAAGTTGTTAATTATATTTTGGGTTGATTATTATACTCAATATACATGAGTTCTAACATCATTCTTATATTCAAATACTAGATTTCTTCATCAAATCCTCAAGAACACAAAAATCATCAAAGTTGTGATTTTTCAAGATTTATCTACTTGAGGTAATTCCAACGCTTCAAACTCGTTTATTATGAGTAGTTAGAAGTATTTACAACATTTATTACAAGTTTTAATAGTTGAAAAATTGGATTATAAAACTCTAGTTCATGACATGAATAGTACTTTTGAGAAAATAAGAAAGAAGATGAATGGTAATCTTGACGATGAAATTTATGAATACAATGAACCTATGAAAATAATTGTTAGCAAAATATGGAAGTGATCAACTAAGTAATCACCCGAATTATATATTTTGCAAGTGTTGATTATGGAAGATGATGAATAGTAGCTTGGTGGCAATGGACAATTGATGTAGTATCATTAATGATTTTGAATGGGTATTAAAACATAAGAATGAAATTGAATGGTTTAGCATGTAAAACTATTTGGTGATTTGAGTTGTTGGAGGCTTGTAGCCAACTTGTGAGCCATATATGGATGTTGATCAATATCTTAGGTCATATTTTGATGTAATTAGGATATCTAATTGTAGATATCGACTTGCTGGTGATTTTGAGCATTTAATCAACATTGTAATGATGAAGGAGGATTGAAAACTTGTGAATGTTAATAAAGCGAAAGCGAGGTAAGTTGATTAAAACTTACTCTTCTTGAGGGACTTTCTCTAAAAGTATGTTTTGAGTTAATACTTAAGTTGTTTGCAAATGTTCTTTCGTGCTTGTGGGGACAGATAAGTACGAATGTCTCCATGTACTAGAATATTATATTGCATATATAGTGTCATGCCATTTTATAAAATTTTATTCTAAATCTTGTTGTCAAAGTGGCACTCAAGATAAATGTTATAAGTTTTTATCATAACTTACGTATTGACAAGAGTATACATATTTGAGTGCTAAAGATAAGTTTCACGAAAAGTATTTCTTTTGAAAATTGACAAATAGAATAGAACTTGTGGTATCTTTTAAAGATTGATGTTAAATTGCTAAAGGCTTTAACATGTAAAAGGTTATTTATTTAAATTTTGTTCAAATGATTTAGATTTTCTATAAATACTAAGATTTGAGAAAAATCATTTGAGGCTTCTATGCTATGAATCTATTTTGAAGTATCAAATATTTTGGTCGTTACTTGTGGTCACCGAGATTGACTTCGGATATATCGTGTTTGTTGTCATAAAACTACACGTGCCAGTGTAGGCGTAGATGTCCACTTTGTGGTATAGACTACGATAGAGTGCTCTCCCCTCGAGAGAGTACTATTTTGTATTATTATTAGCATGGCTGAGTCGATTCGTACGACACTACGATGAGACGACCTGAGCAAGTAGGGTATATGATACTTCCCGCTAGGTACATAACCTAGTTGACCTTCTTGTGTCGGTGATGGTATAGTACTCCTAGTGAAAGGTAAGAATAATTTTCTTATGTTTAGGCCTAAGGAGCCGAAAGTGATTTTGATGACTTAAAGCAAATGGAATGATTTTGTACGAATTTATCCAAAATCTTGGATTGATGTAAATATGTTAAAAATTTATATTGTGGGTTATATTTCACTTGGTTGTTATTTAAAATAACAAGGGTCATGAATTGATAAAATTTCTTATCGTTTTATATCAAATATTGGTACATTATTTTTATTAAGTTTGTTCCAAGAACTTAAGTTAGAGAGTGTTTATGATACTTATTGAGTACCGATGTGGTGTACTCAGCCCTTAGGGGCACCCCTCCAGGGACCTACTTACTTTACATGTTTTAGGATGATGCATGATACGTGGCATGTGGTCAGGCCAGGATGACTCTCTTTCCGAGGTATTATGTAGCACCACTTTTATTTTGTGGTAGCTATCATGTTTTTCCTTATTTTATTTTGTTGAAACTACTCCAATCGTTGGTTTTATTCTTTGGTATAGAGGCTCCATAGATAATTGTGAAAGGTTGTAATAATGGGGTTGTACACGACATACATGAAAGTATATTTATTTTACTTAGTCCCATTGTTATTATCATGAAAGACATCATGTGTGATTTTTAATTGGAAAATATTTTATCATTTAACTTGAAAATATATATATGCTTTTCAAGGAGCTTCCGCAGTTAAATTGGTTTTCATGCATATGATTTGGGTGCATCACATGGTTTGGTTCGCTCGGGTCGGGTAGTGTGCCGGGTGCTGGTCACGTGAATTTTGGGTCATGTCATCCTGGACACAAGCTATATTAACCTTCCTCTTTTGAAAAATTTTTGCCAACTCTATAGACTTACCCATCAATGTGCCTATGTTCCAAGACCCAATTCTCAACCTATAGGCTCCTTCACCGTGCAAAATGTTGCAATTATCAGCTAATTAATATGTACACTAAAGTAAACGGTCCCTCTAGATAGTCTTTTCTAATCCCATTTTAAGTCAAACTATTCATAGTAGTTAGAAGAAAAAAAAAATAGTTCGATGTACAAAACATTTTGCATTGACACAATATTTGAGGAAAGGCCACAATTCAAGAGATGTGATTAGACAATCTACCATAAAATATGTATTAATGACTGCTTCCACGACTCAAAGTGTCATATATCAATTTTATTTACTACTTCGAGTTTTGAATGGGATTAAAGTGACGAGGCAAATAGGAAAAGAGGTGAATTTAAAGGTATTAAGTAATATTAAAAGAAAAGGCTCCGTATAAACCTATGTTGAACACATCCAAGCTTTTGAATCTAACCGTGTGAACAGAAAAATCATTATTAATTAAATAGTGACAAAGACTACAACAGGACCGCTGTCTCATACTTTGCATCTTCCTTCTTTTTTCTCACTCCTCCTAATTACAAATTCTAAGACACAGATCTCTATATGGGAAACTGCACAAGTAATTAGAGCAAATGCAAATTAAGAATTTTAATTTGATTAATATTTAAGTTGAATTATTCTAATTATAAAATAATAGATTTAGAATTTAATATGTATTATAATTATAATTATATAACGTTACACAATATGCAAGATACTAAACTCAGTTGAAAGCAACGATGATGTAAATTAATAAAGTATAAACTTGGGGCTTGAAAAGCATGCTACCAATATTTATGTTTTGCATGCGTGATAAAGAGTTGGTTTGGTTTAATTTACTAGTTGAATGAGACTCCAAAGCCACGAATTCTTATCCTAAATTCCTAATGATACCTGAAGGAGTTTTTTAATAACATAATTAGGAGAATCCGAGGTCGCCCCTGCGCCCAATGCCATTTAGAGTTTTATTAACATTTGATAGAATTATAATGAAAATTTTACACTATTATTACCGTAGTTTAACCTCTTATAATAGATAAATTTACTATTTATCATAATTTCCTGTTTAAAAAAGATTGGCATAGTTCAGAGTATGAGGGTCAAAGTACTTAAATTTGACTGTGAATTTGGACATTCGAGTTTTTGAAAATAAAATTTATATTTTTAGAACTACATAAAAAGTATAATTATAAGTCATAATAATTCATAATTCAAAATATTTATAAAATATTTAAGAAAAATATGGTCAAAAAACAAGCTCGTAGACTTTCCAAATAGTAATAGTCCAACCTTTACATATTTAATAAATGGAGTTAATTAAACGACCTAACTTAATTATTAAACCCTTCCAAAAAAAAAAAAAAACAATAGGATTAAAGAAGGCACTTGACTCATTCAAGGTAGCATTTGATATTGTACCACATTTTAGCCACATGCTTTGTCTATAAATTTAACTATCTTCTTAATTCCCCGTTACTACTACACATTCACCCTATAAATAGAAACTCTTCTCCCCTTGGTTGCAAGTTGGAACCCTAACTAGCTCTCTCATCTTCCTCCTTTGCCTCAACTTATAACACACAAAACCAGTGTCATTATATTGTAATAAACCATGATTGAATCTCTGTCCAGTTGGTTCACTCCCACTGTTCTTTTCTGCGTTCTAAACCTCATGATTGGTATTATTCTCATTTCTTCTAGCATCAAGAATGACAAAAAACAACAATACACTGAAGATAATAACTTACCTCAACTCCCCCGAACTCCATCTTTATTACAGCGTGTTAGGTCTGTAAATTACTTCTCTTTCGTCCCTGAGCCATTTAATTCCCCTTTAACTACTCCTCATTTCGCCGACAACTCTTCACCTCGACTCGACTACAGTCCCTCTTTGCTTCAGCGAATCCGGTCCATCAACTTCTCTTTCTCCCGGTCCGAAAAACTCAGCCCGTTTCCGTCTCTGGACCAATACGCCGGCCCAGCTGATGAAAACGCACCTCAGACGGTTGAAGCTGTAACTGAAGAAGAAGAGGGTTTGGAATGTCACGTGATGAGAAGTAAATCTACCACGTGCGCGGAAACTACGTTAATGAAGAAGTTGGCTAGTGAGGAAATTCTGGCAGCGGTGCAGAAGGAGGAGGAAGAGGTGGTGGTGGTTCGGCAGCGGCCGGCGACGGTGAGGGAGAGAAAGCAGGGGAATCGTAAGACGAAGAAGTCGTTGGGCCGGGATGATGAAGCTGTAGATAGGAAAGCTGATGATTTTATTAGCAAGTTTAGGGAGCAGTTGAAGATGCAGAGAATTGATTCTATTCAAAGGTATAAGGAAATGTTAAACAGAGGTGTGTCCATTTAGGACAATTTTCTCCTTGTTTTATCCTAATTTCATGTATGGCAAATCCATGTGGTTTTCTGTCAATTCAAAAGTAAAGACGATTTGGTTGTTGCATCTCACTTAGTTGAGTGAAGTTAAGTGGTTATTCTTTTGTTATTTTGATATGAGAAAAACAACTGATAAGTGATAAAATAATTTTAATGTTTAGATGATGCTGCCCAAGAAAATAGAAATTAATTCTTAGTTGGATTGTAAGAACAGCCTTTTGGGTTTTGAAAAAGGTAAATTACCAGACAGATTTCACCTTCAAAATCTTGTCAAACGACCTAGATTCCGGAAAACATTAGTCCAAGCACAGAATATTCTCCTTTTAGGGTATGTTTGGTACCAACGTTTTTCAATGTTTAAATGTTTTGAAAAATATTTTTTCAACTAATTCCCCTCCAATTGAAGGAAAATGCCAAAACTATTTTGCAAGCTTCCCCACGCTATTCCTCATCCCCTCCAACCCCCACCTCCACACCCCACCTACCTACCCACCCTAACAATAACTGTATACAACTATCTTTGCAAATAAATGAAAAAGA